GAGGAACAAGGAGGGGAAGGACTTGAACATAAGAGTATAATATATATAAATTAAAAATAATTACAAGAGGTGAAGTCTTTAAAATAATTTCCTAAATGTTATCAGCTGGAAAATTGTGTTACAACACACAAAAAACTGTATCACTGTTCAAAATGTGCACTACCAGATATGAAAGGTATTTTAAATACAGTACAATATCTTATGTCTAAAGCATGGGAATAATACAAAAAAATCTAAAGTAGTGAGTCTAGCCGAGAGCATCTGCCCAGAAGCTATGATCTAGTTCCAATCTCGGAACGTTCTGTCCATGCAAACCACGGGTGGTCAAAGGAAATCTTGAGAGAGATACCTGGTGTTCTAGGGTCACATGGATTCTGAGCTCATCAACAAATTGTCTCAAGTGGCATAACACTCAAAAGTGATGATGTACGGCCAGCTGTTTGTTGTGGTAGTTAGCTTATTTATCTGTATATAATGGAAATGCCTACATACTTTCCTTTAACATATCACCACACAATAAGCATCAATCATAATTATATAACCTTAAGCCCAACATAACACAGTACTAGTATAGATATAATATACAAATGAGGTTAAGGTTAGAATAATTCACCAGCTCTCTGGTAGTTACTTTGTTTTGGGGTGAACCCACTCTTTGACTTTGGGCATGAACCCTTTTTTTGGACTTGGGACCTTCCGGTCCACTCATTGCAGTGGCCTTGCGCCTCTAGTTTCTTTGCCTTGCGGCATATTTCATGTGTAGCCTTCCAGCTACAGTATTTTCTTTGTGCTGTGCCTAGAGGCATTTGTGGGAATTCGATGTATACCTTGGATATATGCAACATTTGACCATTCCCCAGTATGCCACCCACAACAGTCGACTAACATCCAGGTTCCTAATCACTGCTAGGTGAACACAGGCAATGGGTGTAAGGAGACTTGCCCATACATCGAGCCTTGCCTGGGATTGCACAAGCAATGCTTATAGTGCTAGATTTTCCCTCTTAACAGTAAGAACACTTGACCTTAAGTAAGTCTAGGTCTAGGGTAAGGGAAAACTAGTTAAACAGACTTAAGTTACTTTGCTTTTTCATAACAGATGCAAAAAACATGTGCTAAAATGGGGTTCCATTTCCCAATTGTGAGGCCCTACAGTGGATGCCTTTTGGCTTGACTGATCATGGTGGGGTTTTCTGTACCTCTTTCCTCTGGTCCAGCTGTTGCTCTGGGTCCTGGCAAGGTTGCCGTCCTTTCAGGGAAAAGTGGTCGTTGCTTATATCCTGGAAAAATGTTTGATTCATTCAGACATTTTTCCATGTATCTGCCTCTTTCAGAAGGTTACCTTACCTTGAGGTTACCTTGAGGTGCTTCCGGGGCTTAGCGTCCCCGCGGCCCGGTCGTCGACCAGGCCTCCTGGTTGCTGGACTGATCAACCAGGCTGTTAGACACGGCTGCTCACAGCCTGACGTATGAGTCACAGCCTGGTTGATCAGATATCCTTTGGAGGTGCTTATCCAGTTCTCTCTTGAACACTGTGAGGGGTCGGCCAGTTATGCCCCTTATGTGTAGTGGAAGCGTGTTGAACAGTCTCGGGCCTCTAATGTTGATAGAGTTCTCTCTCAGAGTACCTGTTGCACCTCTGCTTTTCAATGGGGGTATTCTGCACATCCTGCCATGTCTTCTGGTCTCATGTGATGTTATTTCTGTGTGCAGTTGGGACCAGCCCCTCAGTTATTTTCCACGTGTAAATTATTATGTACCTCTCCCGCCTGCGCTCAAGGGAGTACAGATTAAGGCTCTTTAGTCGGTCCCAGTAATTTAGATGTTTTACTGAGTGGATTCTAGCAGTAAAGGATCTCTGCACGCTCTCCAGGTCAGCAATTTCTCCAGCTTTGAAAGGGGCTGTCATTGTGCAGCAGTACTCCACTCTAGAGAGCACAAGCGTTTTGAAAAGTATCATCATCAGTATAGCATCTCTAGTGTGAAAAGTTCTTCTTATCCAACCTGTCATTTTTCTTGCAGTTGTGACGGCTACTTTATTGTGTTCTTTAAAGGTAAGGTCTTCCGACATGAGTACACCCAGAACCTTTACATTGCCTTTTTGTTCTATGTTATGATTTGCCTGAGTTTTGTACGTGGTTTCCGTTTTTATATTTTCAATTTTTCCGTAGCGCATGAGTTGGAACTTATCCTCGTTAAACACCATATTATTTTCTGTAGCCCATAGAAAGGCCTGATCTACATCTGATTGGAGGTGTGCCGTGTCCTCTATGTTGCCAACTCTCATGAAAATCCTAGTGTCATCTGCAAAGGATGATACAGTGCTATAGGTTGTGTTCTTGTCTATGTCCGATATGAGGATGAGAAAAAGTACTGGAGCAAGCACAGTACCCTGGGGGACTGAGCTCTTCACGGTTGATGGGCTGGATTTTATTTTGTTGACTATTACACATTGGGTTCTGTTAGTCAGGAAATTGTAGATCCATCTGCCTATTTTCCTGGGATTCTTTTTGAACGCATTTTATGTGCAATAACTCCATGGTCACATTTATCAAATGCTTTTGCGAAATCTGTGTAAATTACATCAGCGTTTTGTTTGTCTTCCATAGCATCTAATGCCATATCATAGTGGTCTAGCAAGTGCGACAGGCAAGAGCGCCCTGTTCTGAAACCATGTTGTCCGGGGTTATGGAGATGCTGTGATTCCATGTATTCCAGTTCCAAGGTCGGCTTGGTAATATACCTCACCGGTTTGAATTTCTCCAATGCTCTTCACATCTAGTCTTTCAGACTGGTCCTTGCCTTTCTTTTATCTCCACAGTTTATGGTGTTCACTTCAGCCTTTAATTCCTTTTCTGAAGCTATTTTGCTGTTGGCACTTGCCTCTGGATGTAGGGTTTGGGAGCTTCATGCTCTTATCTGGAAGCATGGTTTTTATTCGTTTTGCCCTCATGAGCGTTATGTTCGTCTGGAGCCGTCTCCTTTTGTTCTGGCAAAGAATGAATTGGCGGACTCCCGGAGGAATCCTTTGGTTGTTGATGCTTGATTGGTATAGCTGAGTGTGCATTATGTGCTGTACCTGTTAGTAGCTCTCTATGGTTACCTTCATGCTAGCAATTCTGTCTTGGTGGATACTTGTGGGTTGATCCTGTTTCCTTTTTTCCCTGTTCGAAGGGTAGTTTCCCAGGTCATCTAATGTTAAATCCAACCAGCCTACGGGCTATCCTCGTGCCCATGATGTTCGTCAATATGCTGCTCTTGCAGTGGTTTACATTGTTGGGGATGCCATTTGGCAGTTTTGAGGCTTTAGTCTCTTTGAATCCAGCAGTGGTCTGGGTTCAAAGACACTTAACTGGCAGGATGGCAGTGTAATTACCCAAGTTTAATTAGGTAATTATACTTCCATCCCACTCCTGACCGACAACCAGAACACAACTCCATAGTCTCCTGAGACTGATGGATGCCTACTACTACTGAAGTACCAAGTGTAGTTACAGGATGAGAGCTACGCTCATTGTGTCCTGTCTTCCCAACACTGTCATATAACGCTTTGAAACTACTGACAGTTTTGGCCTCCACCACCTTCTCACTTGCTCCAACCGTCTACTACTCGGCAAAAGAAAAACTGTCTAATAATGTTTTGACAACTTTGTTTCCTTAGCTTGAATTTGTGGCCTCTTGTTCTTGAAGTTGCTGGTTTCAGGAATTCCTCTTGGTCAATTTGGCTGATTTGTTATTATTTTGTAAGTGGTGATCATTTCACCTCGTTTTTTTCTTCTATTTTCTAGCTTTGGCATGTGTGTGTTACTTGCTCTCTACACCTCTGTAAAGGAGGGGGCGGAGGGCGAAGTTCTGGCTTTTTCTGGGGGAGCCTCTATAGCTCCCCGGAGCTATCCATCGCTGATATGGATACCCTAACTATTTTGCGTCAGTCGATGTGGGTGGAGTTCTAGCCTACCAGGGACCACAAGCCAGAACCTGGCCCCCTCACAGAGGCACGGGGAGCAATGGCCCATACAAATGCACATGTGATTTGGAGCATTCTATATCTGCCATCGACCGGGACAGGCACCCAGAAAGGTAAGTGCCACAAAACAAACCCCGATTCTGGTAGACAAACAAACAAAATAGACAAACGAATGGACAGAACTCCCCAAAAGAAAAACGAGCAAACAAGCATAACGTCACACGAGCTGCACCGCATGTCTGCGCAGCTCCTCCCTTTCCCTGGGAGGGGGAACGGGGAGCCCCAGACCCCCGAGCCGGCAATCTTCGCCCTAGTTCCTCGGCTGATGGGATCGTGCATGGTGATATGGCTCCAGCTCCAGTCTTGTCTCAGTGCTGTGACTTGTTTTCAGTGCTGCTCTTACGGTGGTCGTGTGAGCTGGGAGTAGTTTTCTCAGGCACTCGGGCTGCATATGCTTAGGGTCAGCTTCCCTGAGTGCCCTGTAAGTACCACCCTTGGGGCTTGGGGTTGCCTTCCACAAGTGACCTTGGGTCTACCTCTGTTGGCTTTTCGCTGCTTGGCGTTTGGCCGCCCCGAGTGTTTAGGGGTTTTCCTCCCTTATTTACCTTGGGGTTAGTGGTAGTTATAGCACTGGTGGGGCGCAGGGTACTAGGTAGCTGTTTTCACCTATAATAGCGGCTGGCTCTGTTCCCACTGGGTACGTTGTCCACTTGCATGGTTTTTCTTTTCTTTTTGCCTGGTGGGGGGGGGGGCTGCCTTGTGTTTTTCCCTTCCCTTTATATTAGGGTTGTTTGTGCGGTGGCACCCCCTGCTTAGCCCTCGCAAGTGGACACGTCCCGTGGGTTCAGCTTTTAGCAGTTTGCTTGGTAGTTTGGGGTGCCGGTTAGTAGTGCCCTGCCTGGGACAACCCTTAGCAGACCCAGTCTAGGGGCCCTGGGAAACCCCGCGGGGGTCTCGGGTCCGATGGAGGAGACCCTCGCGTCCCCTCTCGCTGTGTGCGAGTTTGAGGGTTGCTCTGTTCCCTTGTCTCAGGGTGACTCATTGTTTTTGCCTCCGTCATGCTGCCTGTTGGGTCGGTGACACATTCGACCCTGAGTCCTGCGAGCTGTGTTGCTTGTTTGTGATTCAATTCACCCAGTCTGCTGATGAATTACTTCAGGTGCAGGCAGCTTGTGCGTTGCAAGGTAGGTTTAGGTTGTTGCAAGGTAGGTTTAGGTTGTTGCAACGCGCTCGGGTTGTCACTTTCCCGGACGCCCCGAGGCTGCCCCGCTTTGTGTATAAAGACCTGGACTTAGGGGGTGTTGGTCGCTTCAGCCTTGGTTCCGTCTGCTCCCCCTTGTTCTTCCCCTTCAGTGGTCCATCGGTGCCCCCCCCCCGGAGGTTTTCGGCTTCCTGCATCTCTCCGTCTGAGGTGCGGTTGTGGCGGCTTAGAGCGTGACCCGGAGTACGCCTCCATAATGGATCCTTCTTCTTTCAGGTTTGGGTGTTGTCCTTACTGGGTTGGTTGAGGTCCGGACCGTCCTGGCTGCATGCCTAATACTGTTTTCGCTGGATGCTTGGGACTCGTTCAGTTGAACCTTCACGTTTGAGTGGCGTTAGGCGTTGACGGTGGTCCAGGTTTACCTGGGGGGCGATTTTGAACACCTTAATGAGTGTCTTTTCGCTCTTGCCCTTCTGCTGGATGTTGGTGCGGTGCAGCTCCATGTGCAGGTTCCTTCCCTGTCGGCTGCTCTTGTGGCAAAGGATTTGCGTGCTCGTGGCTTTTTGGCTTTGGTCCTGCGTTTCTTTTCCCTCCTGGAGCTATCTTCGGATTGGCTTGCGGAGGATGTTGAGGCGCTTGGGGCCGCTCCAGGGTCTGGCGCCTTGGTCTCAGCTGCTCGGGTGTCGTCTGCCATGTTGAAGCTTTTTGTGCCGAACCTGCGGGAGGCGTTGCTGCGGTTTTTCGCTGCGCGCTTCGCGTGTCGTCAGGCGGTCCTTGTTTCCTCTTTGGAATCCGCTTGGGCCCTGGTTCTTAGGTTGTCTTCTCCCTTTTGTCCTCTGCTTTTTGAGGCTTCTGCGGTAGAGGGGGTCGCGTGGCGGAGCTTCATGCTCTTCTCTGGCGCAGAGGTTTTTGCTCCTATGGTCGTGGTCTTCGGTTTCTTCGTTTGCAGCCGTCTCCCTCTTTTCTGGCGAAGAATGAGACTGCTGCTTTCCGGAGGGGTCCTTGGGTTGTTGATGCGTGCTTTGTCAGGCAGGGGGTTCACCATGTGTTGTGTCCGGTTGCGGCCCTCCGCCGTTATCTGCGCGCCACGGCTTCTGTGTCCGGGGACGCGCTTTGGGTTGATCCGGTTTCCCTTCTTCTCTGTTCGCGGGTTCGGGTCTCTTAGGTCATCCGCAGGGTTATTAAATCCAGCCAACCTGCGGTCTATCCCCGTGCCCATGACGTTCGTAAGTTCGATGCTCTTGCTGCCATCTTCGGCAATATATCTTGGGCTGACATTCGGGTACGGGGATTTTGGCGGTCGAACAGGGTCCTGGCTGCACGCTACCTTGTTAACGTTCCTGGACCCAGTCGGGCCTGTGTTGCTTTAGGTCGGCGGTTGCAGCCCGTTGTCTCGGCTTCATCTTGAGGAGTGGAGCAACGACCACCTCCCGGGTAAGTGCCCTTGGTTTTCTTGGTAGTCTTTGGTGAGGTAGCTCCGGGGAGCCGTAGGGGCTCCCCCAGAAAACCAGCGTTGAATGTAATGAAACGCCATTTTCTGGGTGAGTCCCGGAGGCTCCCCGGCATCCCTCCCGCCCTCCGGTCGGCGTTTTTTCGCGTTTTTTTTTTATATCCAGCCTCAGAACTGGGGTGTGGATTGCCGGCTCGAGGGTCTGGGGCTCCCCCTTCCCCCTCTCGGGGAGGGGGGAGCTGTGCAGACATGCGGCACGGCTCATGTGACGTCATGCTGGTTTGCTCGTTTTTCTTTTGGGAAGTTCTGTCCTCTCGTTTGTCAATTTTTGTTGTTAGCCAGAATAGGGGTTTGTTATATGGCGCTTACCTTTCTGGGTGCCTGTCCCGGTCGATGGCAGATATAGAATGTTCCAAATCACATGTGCATTCTATGGGCCATTGCTCCCCGTACCTCTGTGAGGGGTCCAGGTTCTGGCTCGTGGTCCCCGGTAGGCTAGAACTCCACCCACATCAACTGATGCAAAATAGTTAGGATTTCCATATCAGCCATGGATAGCTCCGGGGAGCCTCCGGGACTCGCCCAGAAAATGGCGTTTCATTACATTCAACGCTGGTTTTTTTGTGATTTGGCGTGGAATGACCCGATTACTGTATTGTATGTAATGTATTCACTATTCTTTAACATTCACTGTAAAGCTTTAGCCTTCCATTTCAGAACTCCTTGAAACATTATCATCATGTAAAGTGAGACAATATTTATGTAAACCCAATTTTTAAATTTTCAGGGTTCATTGTCTGACCTCCTTATTTCAACAAACAGTGGAGCATGTGCGAGGTCTGCACACCCGTGAGAAGTGGCAGCTAGAGGTGGATGATGATAATGGAGGCTGCACTCAGTTGGTGAGCAACATTTACCTTCCATATGACTAATCTCTGAATGGTTATCAGAATACTATACACACACATCTGCACATGTACAAAAAATAAAATAAAAAAGGAAAAAAATATTCTTGTAGAATGAGTATTTTAAAAACAATATGTAAGGGGAAATTAGAAGTAAAGTAAATACCTATACAGTATTTTTGTTGGTTGGGTGAGGTGTAGTAGTTTGTTGGGTGGCGAGCTCAGTCAGCATCTCGGTGCCAAATGCAAGGTTTGCTAGCACTGCAGTGTGTTGACCTCGGATGTTTCTATGAACATTTTTATACTTATTAGTTATTATAGTATTTGTTGAATAACAGAAACTTAGATTGAGTGCGATACAAACTGTAAAGATAATGTATTTAGGAATACAATATACAGTACTGTATGTATATAGTAGTAGTAGGCATCCATCAGTCTCGGGAGACTATGGAGTTGCGCTCTGATTGTCGGTCTGGAGTTACCTCTCCAGGGCACAAAGCCAGGGTAGGTTGATATGGAGAAGCTGTTACCCAAGCAGTAGGTCCCCCCCTCTCCACAGCGCTGAAAGTCTCCAATGGAAAGGCAAACGCCAATACGATTAGTTCCAGCATTATCACAGGAACTGTGAGCTCCGGAGTTGACCTCGAAGTTGCTGAAAAAAGGCACAGGGACTCCAAACCCGGGGAGTACTGGGAAGATAGGGCACCACAAGAGGTATGCTTATGGTGTCCTAGCTTTCCAGTACTGTCATATAATGCTTTGAAACTACTAGTATTGACAGTTTACTACTTTGAAACTACTGACGCTTTCGGCCTCCAAAAGGGGCGCCTGGCAGCTGGGTGGACAGCACTTCGGATTCGTAGTCTTGAGGTTCCGGGTTCAATCCTCCGTGGAGGCTGAGACAAATAGGCAAAATGTTTCTTTCACTCTGATGCCCCCTGTTACCTAGCAGTAAATAGGTACCTGGGAGCTAGACAGCTGCTACGGGCTGCTTCCTTGGGAGTGTGTAACAAAAAGGAGGCCTGGTCGAGGACCGGGCCGCGGGGATGCAAAGCCCCGAAATCATCGCAAGGTAAGGTCTGTATGCATTCTTGCCTGCAGTAGGCGAAATGTAAAGAAAATTAGCAGGAAACACTCAATTATACTGAGAAGGAAGCTTTAAACACTGATCAGTCAGACTTGGGTTCCTAATACTGAACTGTGGTGTTTACTTGCACCAACAGTTTGGCTGAACATCCCGGAGACCTAGTCAGAGACCGTAGACCGTTGGGGGATATGATCTCCAGAACCTACAAAGGCCTGGTCGAGGACCGGGCCGCGGGGACACTAAGCCCCAAAATTATCTCGAGATAACCTCCACCACCTTCTCACTTAGCTTGTTCCACTGTCTACCACTCTGTTTGCAAAAGAAAACTTTCTAATATTTTTTGGCACCTTTGTTTCCATAGCTTGAATCTGTGTCCTCTTGTTCGTGATGTTGATGGTTTCAAGAATTCCTCTTTGTCAATTGGGTCATTTCCAGTTAGTATTTTGTAAGTAGTGATCATATCACCTGTTTTTCTTCAATCTTTTAGTTTTGGCATTTTTAACGCCTCTAGTCTCTCCTCATCAAGTCTTGTTTTTCAGTTCCGGAAGACATTTTGTAGCATGCCCCTGCACCTTTTCCAGTTTCTTTGTGCTTCTTGAGATGTGGGCACTATACTACTGCTGCATATTCCATTTTTGGTCTCACATATGTCATGAACAGTTTCTTACTACAGTATTTCACCATCCATATAATTAAAAGGAAGTCTGAAGTTGGAAAGCAATGCATACCCTACTCTCATAATGTTCCTTGTGTTCCTCTGGCGACAGCTTACTATCCCAAACCACCCCTAAGGCTTGTTCTTTATTAGAGTTCTGCAGTTCCTTTCCACCTAATTTGTAAGTTGTATGTGGTCTATTTTCTCCAATTCCACATTCCATAACATGGCAATAATTCACGTTGAATTCCATTTGCCACTCGACGCTCCAAACACTTATTTTAGAATTGTCTGTGTCTCCTATCTTCTCCAGGACAGTATCTTTGCATCATCCACAAACTTGTTCATATAATTTGAATTCCTTCTGGTAGAGGATGAATATTACTGGTGCAAGAACTGAACCCTGTGATATTCCATTAGTAACACTCCTCCTGTCAGATGCATTGTCTCTGATTACCACCCTCATCTGTCTGTAATTTAGACAATTTTTCATCCATGTCATAAATCTTTAGAGGTTTTTCTCCAGCATATTTTAGTTTCCAGAACAGCCTCTTGTGTAGGACTCTGTCAAAAGCCTTTTTTAGGTCCAACTAGACATAGTCAACCCAACCACCTCTTCCTGTAGTATCTCTGTGGCTCTATAATAAAAACTAAGTAGATTTGTTACACAGGATGTTCCTGTTCGAAAACCATACTGTTTGTCTGTTATTATGTCATTACTCTCTAGGTGTTCAACCCATTTGGCATTAACTATGGTTTCTAGTGTTTTGACTACCATGCTTGTTAATGACACGGGTCTATAATTTAGAGGTTTCTCTAGACTACCATTTTTATAGATTGGTACTATGTTTGCCTTTTTCCATATATCTGTTAAGATTCCTGTGCATAAAGATGTCTGGAATATTAATTGGAGTGAAATGCTCAGCTCATTTGCACATTCTCGCAGCACCCAAGATGAACCTCCATCCGGTCCAACTGCTTTATTTCTTCTTAGACCCTTGAGTAATTTTTCTACTTCGTCTTGATATGTGTCTATGTATTCTGTGGTGTGCTCTGGAATTGGTATTGGGTCCAGCTCTCTGAAATCATTTTGAACAAACATACTTTGGAACTGTTCATTCACACATTTCTTTTTCATTCTCATAGCCTGTGTATTGTTACTGGTGGAGGGGGGAGGAATCCTCACCTCTTCAACACACTTCTTTGCCACCATATTAGAGTAACTACATTACCCCTGTGAGCACTAGAATTACAGGGACCATAGCAGCTGTTTCGAGGAAGCCCAGACATAAACTGTCCCCTAAAGATGGTAAGGTAGAGTGAGGTGTTACGGAAGTGTATTCTGTACTTGTGGCCATCACGCTCACTGAGTCACACTGCTATTCCTTAGATATTTTTGGGTAAACACCTCTATACCCAGTGCCAAAGAAAATAAGTCCTCCGTATCCATACACCAAAGGTAGTTTTCGAGCAATGTATGAGGTTACTATACCCCAATGTCAGAATCCTATTCTGGCTTAGGCTTCTCATGACAAAGTCTGCAAAATCTCGTCTAATGTCTGTTAAGGTTGAACCTGTTCCTAAAATTCAGCATATCCAGGCATGCATGGGTTATGCTGATTACTACCACTAACTTTTGCTTTCAAAAGATTTATTACCCCTGTCTTCCGCCTTGTTTTTCCTTCCTCTAAGATTTCCTCCTTCTCACCTCTCTTGCCTTACTTATGCCTGTGCCTTTCTTGTCTCTTCACAATCAACTTGATAATGGTCCAGGACCGACTGAAACGTTGTCATCTTTTCATCTTGTTGCATGTGGTTTGATCAACATTCTTCAGCCACGTTATTGTGACTCATCTGCACATGCATGGGTTACCTTGACAATCGTCTTCAATTAGACGATTTTTAATAACCTAGTCTCACGTTTCTCTATAAAGGAATTCAGTGCTCCTCTCGTAGGAACACCCTTGACTCAGTGATGGCGTGAAATTGACAGTCTCTAAATGTAGATTAAGTGCTTGCAGAATCTCCCCTGTATCCAAACATTTTCTCCATATTACACTTGAGTGCTTGTGTTACTGGTATTTACACTTTATGAGTATTAAATTCCAAGACTAAGAACCTGGGGCTGAGTGCATGGTCTGGGAGACAGTAATATACAATATATGGGAAAAAATCTTCCCATATAGACACATGAAGATGAGTTACCAAAGAGAAAAGCATTAGAAATATAACTTTAAATTGAGTTTTACAATTTAATAGCTATTAATCATCTTTTATTCTCAGCCACATTTATGTGAAAATGTAATCGTGGAGTGTGCACAACTGGTACGAGAGACTGTTCTAGAAGCCACTTACCGTGAGACTCCGCTGGTGGACCATCCAACAGTTCGAAGAGATATCATGACGCTTATTCACAATGTGATTGTTGCCTTTGCTCAGGTAAGATATTCAAGGCAAATGGGGGGGACCTTCGACAAGCCGCCGGCTTCCTGTTCTTCATCGAAGCCACTAGGGTAAATCAGGTAAAAGCCTTTGTCGTTTACTGCTTTAATCACATAAACATTAATAATTGATGTTAGGTTTCTGCTTGACTAGAAATTTTGAATTTTAGGTAATTACCTAAATGTAGTTGCAGGATGAGAGCTACGCTCGTGGTGTCCCGTCTTCCCAGTACTCTGTTGTATAACGCTTTGAAACTACTGATGGTTTTGGCCTCCTCCACTTTCTCACTTCACTTGTTCCAACTGTCTACCACTCTGTTTGCAAAAGAAAATGGTCAAATATTTTTTTGGCACCTTTGTTTCTTTAGCTTGAATCTGTATCCTCTTGTTCAAGGTACAAGCAAAAACCTTGTGTTAGGAGAAACTCTTGAATTTGTATTGGGAGTGAGAAGGTTGTGATTAACATAAATATTTTAAGCCCCAAATTGAGTGGGACCAGTATTTAAAGCCCTTCAAGAGAAATCTATGTCCTATGAAATTCACTCTAATTTTAATAGGCATCCTGTAAAGTACCAGGTAACTGTAAATCCCAGGAATAATGCTTGTAACCTGTCCCATTAAATTAAGCCTATTTGTAAAAATTATACAAAGGTGTTTTTATTTTCCAAACTAGGCGCTACGGAAAAAATGAAAATATAAAAACGGAAACAGCGTACAAAACGCAGTCAAATCATAATACTGTATAGAACGAAAAGGCAATATAAAGGATTTGGATGTACTTATGTCGGAAAACCTTATCTTTTAAAGAACACACTATAGTAGTCGTCACAACTGCAAGAAAAATGACAGGTTGGATAACAAGAACCTTTCACATTAGAGATGCTAAACTGATGATGATACTTTTCAAGACAATAGTGCTCTCTAGAGTGGAATATTGTTGCACAATGACAGCCCCTTTCAAAGCTGGAGATATTCCTGACCTGGAGAGTGTACAGAGATTCTTTACTGCTAAAATCCACTCGGTAAAACATCTAAACTATTGGTACTTTTAAAATGCCTAAATCTATATTCTCTTGAGCACAGACAGGAGAGATACATAATAATTTACTCATGGAAAATAGAGAGGCTGGCCCCAAAAATGCACACAGAAATAACATCACATGAGACCAGGAGGCATGGCAGGATGAGCAGAATATCCCGGCTGAAAAGCAGAAGTGCAACAGGTACTCTGAGAGAGAACTCTATCAACATCAGAGGCCCGAGACTGTTCAACACGCTTTCGCTATACATAAGAGGCATAACCGGCCAACCTCTCAGTGTTCAAGAGAGAGAACTTGATAAATACCTCCAAAGGATACTTGATGAACCAGGCTGTGAGCAGCCACGTCCAACAGCCTGGTTGACCAGTTCATCAACGAGGAGGCCTGGTCGAGAACTGGGCCGCGGGGATGTCAATCCCCGAAATCATCTCCAAGGTAACCTCAAGGTAGGCTAAGATTACTTGATCTTTATTTCATTATTACTTACTGATCGGTTATTTCTTCTTATTATTTCAAAGAAGTAAGGACATGTTTAGATACTGTTTCTGTGGGGAGCCCCCTACGGCTCCCTGGAGCTTATCGGGCTAATGTATGTTATATTAGACCGAGACATTAGCTTAGGAGTTCAGACCTACCAGGGACCAGTGCCAGGACCTGGCCCCTTCAGAGAGGTTTCAGGGAGCAATGGCCCTGGAAAACCCCCTTGTGGTTGGGGTTTTCCTTATCAGCCATCGACCAGGGTTAGGCACCCAGAAAGGTAGGCATAACAAAACAAACCCCACATGGTAAAAAACTAAAATAAAAAACCAAACAGAGAGGTAGAAACTCCCTACAATCACAAGGAAACAAGCAAACATCACACTTTACTGCCGCGCAGATCGTCCTCGCAGCCCTCCCCGCCCCGAGAGAGGGGAGGGGAGGGGAGCCCCGGACCTACCGCGCCGGCTGCCAAGCTTCAGTTCGTAAGCTAATGTCAACCGGGATAGACGCTTCTCTGACCTCAGTTTCCTAGGCGGTGTTTGCCTTGTGTGGCGTTCACCTTGTGTGGCGTTCACTGCCGTGTGTTGTGTTGTGCGGTGGCCAGGAGTACCTCATCAGTGCCGGGGCTGCATGTGCTTAGTGGCTGACTTCCCTAAGCGCCCTGTGAGTACTGCCCTTGCGTAACAGGGTTATCTTCCCTGGGGAGTTCAGGAACCATTCCCGTAGAGGCTCTTGCTGCTCGGCATTTGCCTCGCCCTTGGGGCCAGCTGGGGCTTGGGGCCCTTGTTTGGCCCTGGGTAGGGATTGGTATTGTGCTGGTTAAGGCGTTAAGGTGTTGCGTGACCTGCCACCTAAGCAGCGACCAGTTCCTGTTGCCTCTGGAGACAGTGTACTTTTGCGGGGTTATTCTTTTGTTTTTATTTTCAATTGCCTGGTGGGGGTCTGCCCAGTGTGGCTATAGTTCCACTGGTAGTGTTTGGCAGCCCTCTGCTAGGCCCCCGTGATTGTCCACGTCGCAGGGGTTTTCAGTGCTATCCTCTACCCTTTTGTTAATTTTGGGTTTCTTAACCAGTTAGCAACACCTTGCCCGGGCTTCCCGTAGCAGTCAGCCTACGGGCCCTGGAAACCCCTGTCTGGGCTTGGTGGACCATTGAATGTGTCTTCCGGGTTCCAACCCGTCTTGTGCGGGATCGTTGGTTGCTGTGCCCTTGTCTCCGGGTGCCAGTCACCACTTTTACCTCCGTCATGTTGCCTGTTGGGTCACTGACACCTTGACCCGGAGTCTTGCGAGAGATATTCTCTGCTTGTTCTCCAGTACTCTCCTGTTGTTATTACTGTTCAGAGTACAGGCAGTGTCCGTGTTGCAAGCTAGGTTAGGTTGCTGCAACATGCTAGGTTGGTTTCCCACTCGGATGCCCCGAGGCCACCCCATTTTGGTTAGGTGCTGTTCGCCCCTTTCCCTCCCTGTTCCCGGCTCCAGACCATCTGCGGGTTTCGGGGTCGGGGCGAGGTTTAGTTGGGGCCGAGACTCGGGCGGTTTTCAGGGGCTGCCCCGTACGGGTTGGGGGACGGAGGTTTTCGAGCCTGTTCCTCCTGCCATGGCTTCTGGGTCTTACCAGTGGCCCTTTCTTGCTGCCTTTCCCATGGACTCTTCCTTTTCTTTGGAGGACGGCTCTGCCCCGGGGCCTCTGTTGCTGGTTCCCAGGGCTGTGGGGGATGCCTGCTATCAGGTCTGGGGCGGTTTGCCTCTGTCTGGGTTTTCTGCTTTTGGGCGGAGTTTTTTGCCCATCCAGTCTGCTTGCTTCCCACTTTTGCTGGCGTGTTTTCGTATCTTTAGCGTCGGTCACAGCCCTCTGTTCTGGCGGCCATTTTCATCTGCTTGTTTCCCGGCGTGGCGTGTTTTTTCGCGTTGGTTGAAGCTTAGCTTCCGAACTGAAGCTTGGCAGCCGGCACGATAGGTCCGGGGCTCCCCCCTCCCCCTCTCGGGGCGGGGAGGGCTGCGCGGACGATCGGCGCGGCAGTAAAGTGTGATGTTTGCTTGTTTCCTTGGGATTGTAGGGAGTTTCTACCTCTCTGTTCGTTTTTTTGTTTTAGGTTTTTACCATGTGGGGTTTGTTTTGTTATGCCTACCTTTCTGGGTGCCTAACCCCGGTCGATGGCAGATAAGGAAAACCCCAACCACAAGGGGGTTTTCCAGGGCCATTGCTCCCTGAAACCCCTCTGAAGGGGCCAGGTTCTGGCGCTGGTCCCTGGTAGGTCTGAACTCCTTAGCTAATGTCCCGGTCTAATATAGCATACATTAGCCCGATAAGCTCCAGGGAGCCTCCAGAGCTCACCCAGAAAATGGCATTTCATTACATTCAACGCTGATTTTTTACTCTAGGGTGTGGATTAGAAGTGCATGCCCTTACATTCACTTAAATTGATTTTTCAGGCGTTGCCTGTGTACAGAAGTCCTAGCAGATATATGGAAAGAAGGCTAACATAGTTCCAATATACAACAGTAGCAGCAGGGAAGACCCTTAAAGACCTTTTTTATTGACAAGTGTAATAGTCAAATTATTATAAAAAATATTTAAAAATTAATGGGTAGGCCACCTGGAGAAAAATTATATAATAACAGACAGTATGGTTTTCGATCTGAAAGATTCTGTATAAAGAATTTACTTAGTTTCTATGATAGAGCCACAGAGATTTTATAGGAAAGTAATGGTTGGGTTGATTGCATCTATCTGTACCTAAGAAAGGCATTCACCAGAGTTCCACATAAGAGGTTGTTCTGGAAACTGGAACATACTGGAGGAGTGACAAGGAGGCTTCTAACATGGATGAAAGAATTTTCTAACTAACAGAAAAATAAGGGCAGTAATCAGGGACAATGTCTCAAGAATTCTTGAGACCTGGAACTTCAAGAATAAGAGGTCGTAGTGTTAAGCTAACTAAACAAAGCTACCAGAAAATTCTATTTTACAAACAGTGAGGTAGACGGTTGGAACAAGTTAAGTAAGAAGGTGGTGGAGGCCAAAACTGTTAGTAATTTCAAAGCATTACTGTGTGACAGTGCTGGGAAGATGGGATACCACGAGGATTACACTTATATAATTACTGACCGTACATATTTATAAATATTTTAATAATTTTAATTCAACAATTGTCATAAGCTAACCTAGTGACTTTTCTTTTCTAACCAGTCACTCGAGAAACTAAGCCTTCGTGACCCAGATGAAGATTGTAGTGACTGCCACATAAGCGAAAATGCTCCAGGTATTGAAGCTCAGTTACTAATTACACTCAGTAACTGTGCTTTCATGCGGCGTAGTATACTTCCCAGACTGTCAGATTCTCTGATCAGAGCTTCATACCCACAGGACGAGGTCAGTGCATTACGAGGATTTTAAGTAGTTTGTTCATGGCTATTTCTGTGGGAAAACCCGTCGACTCCTTGAAGCTAGCATACTGGTTAAGTACCACCCTACTTGCAGTCATCAGTCGCAGAGTTCATGTATGCCTACTTAGGACCACGAGCCTGAACTTGGTCCCCCTCACAGAGGTGCAGGGAGCAATGGTGAATGAACACTTTATATTTAAATGTTATCATCTTGCCATCGACCAGGGAAGGCACCCAGAAAAGTAGGGGAATCAAAAAGACTAGTGCCTGGTTGGAAATGCGATCAGTGCCCTCAAAATATCCAAAGAACTGCCCCCCCCCCCTCCCTCAAAGAAAACAAGCAACAAAACTTTGTCCAACTAACCCCTCGCTCATTAGCTCCACCGCCCCACAGGAAGGGGGGTGGGAGATGGCCTGGGCCACCAGTCTGTTCTTGACTGATGCATGCCTGGAGCTCGTTTGTCACTCTGGCCATAGTTCTTTGTTTTTTGGAGTTTTGCCTTGTGGGGCCCCTTCAGTTCATAATTGTTTTGGAAAGCTTTGTTCTTGTTGGCTTTGGCCTCTGGTGGTCAGGTCGGTGAGCTTCTCCGGTGCCAGGACTTTTGTTCCTTTGGTTGTGGTGGTGGTTTTGTTCGATTTCAGCCGTTCCTTCTTTTCTGGCAAAGAAAGAGACGGCGGCCTTCCGGAGGGGTCCTTTTGTGGTGGATGCTTGGTTGATTCGGCCGGGGGTGCATCATGTGTTGTGTCCGGTAACTACTGTGCACCGCTACCTGCGGGCCACCGGTTATGTGTCGGTAGACGCACTATGGGTTGATCCAGTTTCCCTGGTTCCCTGTTCCAGGGCTTGTGTGTCTCAGGTGGTCTGCAGTGTCATCAAGTGTATCCAGCCTTTGATCTACCCTCGTGCCACTGATGTTAGGAAGTATGCCGCTATCTCGGCTGTGTTTGGGAATATGTCTTGGGATGATATTCGGACACAGGGGTTTTGGAGGTCTAACAGGGTCTTTGCCACCAGGCATCTCATGAACATCCCAGGTCCTCTGCGGCCATGTGTTGCCTTGGAACATCTGTCGCAGCTAACAGTCTCTTCGTCGGATTGTTACCTGTGTTCTTGCTGCCTTCCTGGTATGTCCCTGTTTTTCCTTCTCTGTTGGTAGTTAGCTCAGGGAGTCAATGGGGCTTCCCACAGAAAACCAGCATTGAGTGTAATGAAATGCCAGTTTTTGGGTGAGCCCTAGAGGCTCCCCTCCCCCCTCCGGTCGGCAGCTTTTATCATTCAAGAACTGGCTGATGGTGGCCCAGCTCCCCCTTTCCCCATGAGGCGTTTTAGCTAATGAGCGAGAGGTTAGTTGTACGAAGTTTTGCTAGTTTGTTTTCTTTGTGTGGGAGATTTTGATGTTTTAAGGCTTAGGTTGCATTTTCAACCAAGCAGTAGTCTGTTTTGATTCCCCTACCTTTCTTGTTACCTTCCCTGGTCGATGGCAGAAATGATAAACTTTAAATGTAAAGCGTTCATTGACCATTGCTCCCTGCACCTCTGTGAGGGGGCCAGGTTCTGGCTCGTAGTCCCCAGTAGGCTTACATGAACTCTGGACTGATAACTCCACGTAGTGTGGCACTTAATCAGTATGCTAGCTTCAGGGAGCCTCCAGGGCACACCTGGAAACTGATATATATAAAAAGTATCCACTCAATTTAACAGCCTATATGGGACTGAGCCCTAGTCGTTATTTACAGAGCTCCGTTATTTCCGAAGTTAAGTCGGGTCGGGTAATTTTTCAAGTAACATTCAGGTAGGATATATTTTATACTGTATAACTAAAATTAAATAAAGTTCATTGTGTAATTGCATTCCAATTTAGTGCACAGCCGACGATTAAGCCAGTTGCTGGCTGCTGCATGGATGATGTGTGAACACGCTCTGATCAAGTCCAGATGGGTGGGAAAAAATTGATTCATTTCTTTGTATTGAAAAATATTTCATGTATCAATCAGTGAGTTAATATTGTCTTAATAAAATTTTAGAGATGTGTTTTGATTTACCCTGAACAGTGCAGGTAATGTATTTTTAATGTTACGACACAGGCTGTGGCGGCCATGCCATAACAATGGAGATCGAGCCTTGTCACCGAGAGCTAGCCAAGACGAAATATTTTGAGCTCACCTTTTCTCTGCTGACGATAGAATATACATTTGCAGAGACTAATATGTAGCTTTTGTTGAAAAAAAAACAATTAATATCTTGTAATACTATAATAAAATTGGTAAATTGACTTACTGTACTTTTAATGAAGCTGAAGATTACGAAGCTGTGATGATTACGTCATCCTCTGCAGCGCTTGTTTTATATTGTTTATCTTGCATACAGGGTACATACTGTATGTACATTACACTTATTTTCAGGCACTCACTTCACACAACAGCTAGCTACTGCTTTACTACTAATTCACATGAGTTCTAATTCTACTTCACTATTGACAATTATGTTGAATGTTAAACTCTACTGCTGCTCGTGCATGAGAATATCCTTTATCAAGTTTCGTAATTAACTCCAGCTTCTGTGAAACCGTCAGGCGCTTCCTTTGGGTAACTTTTGGCATTTTGTAAATTAAAAAGATCACAATTACAGTACAGTAATATCCTTCACAATTGAAGCTAGCCGCGCGAGTTCACGGTAAACAATGGGAACACATGGCCCGGCGGAGTACATACTAGGTCCGTGGGAAAAAAAATACCTAGTGCCTATACATACTATAAAAGGTATTTAATAAGAAAACAAAGACTTTTGCTTAATAAAAACTGTTTATAATAAAAAATAATTTACAATTTTCTTCATTAAAGTGAATCATTTTAAAAGAAAATTAAGATGTAATATATGACTCTGGACGATCCAGGTCGGTGGCGGCCTGGTCGCCATGTGAGGGGACGCTGATGCCACAACAAACCCAATACAGACCGTCGGTAATATCGACCGCAGACCGGTATAGCAGGCTCCAGATACTGGGCTCCCAAACCGGTCGTTAATACCGGCAGATCGGTATAAAAGAGGCCGTTAAATTGAGTGGATACTGTATATCACCGCCCTTTCTCACTGTGTGTTCATATTGTACAGATCTTGTTGACCAGACTGTTGGAAGCTGCTGCATGCAGTCTTATGTATAAATCTCAGCCAGATTGGTGATAGGCTACTCTCTGGAGATGTTGACCAAACATATTTTTAAGAATATTTTATATTCTTGTTTGTATTGTGAGAGAGTGGCATAGAGAACCAGGAATACCTCCTTCATCTGCAGTGATACATAAATCCTCTAATTGTTTATTTCTTTCCATCAGGTCAAAGATGCTGTAGAACAAGCAAGCCGTACTTACACAGAGCTACAGGACAGACTTTTTGAAGCCTATCTGGAGGAGAGAGTTGACCCCATCATTGGTAAGTTGTCACTTAATACAATACAGGTCATGTATAACATTATGGGGGAAGCTTCTCGGTGGCTTCCTAAAGCTATCTTGCTGAGATTGCCTCATACTGAATTGTCACATTAGTTGTGGAAGTACTGTTTGACCTTCCGGGACCAAAGCCAGAACCTGTCCCTCTCGCCCTTTCCCCTCACCTCAGGGGCAGGCCTACTGGAACCAAAGCCAGAACCTCCCCCTTCACCTCAGGTGCAGGCCTACTGGGAACCAAAGTCAGAACCTGGCCCCCCCACCCTCCCCCTTCACCTCAGGTGCAGGCCTACTGGGAACCAAAGTCAGAACCTGGCCCCCCCACCCTCCCCCTTCACCTCAGGTGCAGGCCTTCTGGGAACCAAAGTCAGAACCTGGCCCCCCCACCCGTCCCCCTTCACCTCAGGTGCAGGCCTACTGGGAACCAAAGTCAGAACCTGGCCCCCCCACCCTCCCCCTTCACCTCAGGGTCAGGCCTATGTAACGGGGGTGGGGGAAATAGCTCTATCTTGTCCATTATTCCACCCCCCAGTTAACTAACGAGGCCGGGGGAAACAGCTCTCTCTAGTCCGTTATCCCGTCCCCAGTTAACTAACTATTCTAGGGCACTCCCAGAGTTCCTAAGGCAACCTCTCTCGTTCAACACCTTGTAACCTAGGTATTTGACTACCTAGCTGCTAAGACTACAAGGCGCCGTCACTTGATCAGTTACCCGAAACTCCAGAGAGAACTCTAGAATACAGAATCATTGCCACAAACGTATAAGAGAAAACGAAAGGAAAGAAATGAATAGTGAAGTAATTAGTGAGGGTTTGGGGTGAGAGGGAGAGAGGTGGGAGGAGCGAGGAGGGTCATTAGTTGAAAGTGAGAGTTTAGAGAGGGGTGGAGGGAGAGGTGCAGATAGGTAGAAGTAGAAGAGTAGATAGTAGAAGACGAAATGCTGCCACCATCCATTCATGATCATTACATACAAGACAAGGAATGGAACTTGTCTGTATCAAAATATTCACCAAAGATGTTATCATGAGTTCATTATTAGTAGTTCCCATCTTTATCATGTACTCATTCTAAACCATGAAACCAGTAACCACAGAGGCTTTCTCACCTCAACTCAAATCTCTAGGGAACAAAGTTAAACACAATTTAAATAATAAATTCATAATTATATTTCCCATGAAGTATCATAATTTAGCAATTAAATTAAAATGTTCCAGTTTAATATGCAAAGTGAGTCATCGTCCAAGAATTCGAGAACCCTACAACTTGACTGCCCCTGATCATCACACAACATATGAAAACACGACCAAGTCACCTAAAAGTTCAACTCACCGAGGACTGAGTCTAAGTTGAATAGAGAGGGGGGGGGGGGGTCTGTAGCTTGACAGAGACTGTCTCGCCCCTGCCGCCCGACAGCCTCCCTGCTAGGGACGTCGTCTCAGCTCTCCTGGCTCGTGTGCTGTTCTGTCTCGTTAATCCTCCATGCTGGATAGCTCTCCGAGTTTATATTGGGGAACCTAGTAGCTAACTCCGCCCACAAGTAGATAGCCTCCGGCACTACCAAGCCACTCCTTAAACGTCGGCATGTTTGAAGGCTACCCGGCTCCAATTATACGCTTAGCGGAAGCAAGGTGAAATTCTCATGATCTGACCTCAGGTCACTTGGGGTCATTAACGGTTAGAGGTGTGAGATCTCAGGCAGACAACTGGCGCCTCTCAGATCCTTGTTTGTGACTCGTGTACTCTATATATATTAACCTAAACCAAACACTTTTACAGTGTTACATCTCCCCTTCTCCCCGAAAATAAAGTTTTTGCAACACTGCTAAAGCAAGCTAGCTGTGTGCAACAACTTTATTAACGAAAAGAATACATCCTAGCTAAACAAATATACATCATCCTACTCTAAAAATGAAATATGTAGACAGACGTCCATTGTCTCTGGCTGGGCGACGTCACTGCTTGGTCTTGTAGATAATCCTGTACCACATTTCTTCAACACAACTGCCTCCGTCGCTTCTCCGTCGTTAACGCACAACAACCCTTGGTCAACCCGAAAGCCGTTACTACTTGAACTGCGCACAGGACCGTGGAATTCGGTTGTCCCAGCTGATCTGTAATTGGCCCTACGTCAGTCACCATGAGAGACGTATATTGGGGTTCTTCACAGCTATAGGGACTACAAGTTTCGAGACCTTCATATAGTTGCCAACAGTAGAAATCCCATCCTACTCTTCTTCCTCCCTGTTGCTCCAGCACGCCTCCTTCAGAGAGCTACTTCTGACAGCCACATCAAGTCCACACGACACAGGAAGAATCACTCAACAGAGCAACATGCTAGTAGGAGGGGCGGCCAGTTAAGGCAAACGATCCTGTCTTGCAATTACGCTCCATGCAATGATGCTGACACCAGCAAGGGACACTAGGTATCATGTCTCACTCAGCTTGTCTTATCTTCTCTTCTTTCTTCTCTCTTCTTTCTTCTCTCTTCTTTCTTCTTTCTTCTTTCTTCTTCCTTCTTTCTTCTTTCTTCTTTCTTCTCTCTTCTTTCTTCTCTCTTCCTCCTCCCATGGGTCTTAGACAAGCGACCAGGGGTCCATTGGGGTCTGTCCGTCCTGGGGTCCATCCTGGGTAGACCGACGTTGGTGGGACAGACTGGAGTCGTTGTTGCTCCTCTTCCATCATTACTGGGTCGTCTGGGGTCGTCTGCAGAACGACCTGGGGTCCACTGGGGGTCCGTCCGTCTTGGGGTCCCCTGGGGTCCGTCCGTCTTGGGGTCCCCTGGGTAGACCAATGTTGACCGACCGAGAGGGCTATATCTCGGGGGTCCCCTGGGTGATGGTGGTGGTGGTGGCCCTGACATCCAGGTAGGGGGCTGGTCGTGGTGGTGGTGAGGAACGTCCGTGAGTGTGGTACACAGCAGTCGTCTCCCTCTTTTGTATATGCGTCGCGCCTCTCCTCTGGCTCCCACCTGTGGATGAACAGAAAGGCGACAATACCCGTGTTCCATGCTGTTTGTGTGACCCTGTAGTTTGTATAGGGTTCACACAGTCCAATTATAAGCTCTCCTCCTGGCAACGACTACACTTAAATTTTAATAATCCAATTAACTCTGAATGATATTGACTTGGTGGAACATAAAACAGTAACAGAGTAAAGTTAGAGAAGAGAGAATAAGGTCATCACTACTTTTAACTTGACACACAAAAAAAATCAACACTAATAGACAAAACACTAGCCTAGCTTAACTATACCGTTCCTAATCTTACGTACTTAAATATCCATTATTCCCACCCTTAACCTACAGCCACCTACGTGACCCAGAGTGTCTCCCTAGCATCTCCGCCGGTCAACAACTCCAAACTGTTGCCACCCCTGTGACCAGACTATCTAACGTCGAGCGTCCCCAACGTGAAGTCTACTGACATACTAAGCCTCCCCCTAGTATGCTGTACAAGACCAGTACACCTCGGGTTATTGCGTTCAAATGGAGTAAAACAGTCGATCGCAATAATCTGAGCAGAACCACCACTAAATTCTACTTAAGAACTACACCTGCCACTCCCCAACTGACCTGGAGACCAGCGGTGGCTGGGTGTCCCCGTGGGACATGCGAGGTCACCTGTCACACTCAGCTGACCTGCACTACCAACACCGCTAAGTTCCCAAATCGCCAAATCTTATTACTAACATAAATCACTACACACGCAAGTTCTGGTGAACATTCCCTGAATACCACAAAACTCACAAAATCACTAAACACAACACCAGAGAATCACTATCTCCTAACCTGAAAAAAAAAGTTCGCTAACTCGCGAATATTAAACACCTGTCAATCTCCCTGATAGCGCCTGAGCGGCAAAAAGACACGTGGGACTGAACAATGTTCAAAAGAACACCAATACCTTAAACATTGTTCAACACCGCTGCCATCATTGTAACGGGGGGTGGGGGAAATAGCTCTATCTTGTCCATTATTCCACCCCCCAGTTAACTAACGAGGCCGGGGGAAACAGCTCTCTCTAGTCCGTTATCCCGTCCCCAGTTAGCTAACTATTCTAGAGCACCCTCCAGAGATCCTAAGGCAACCTCTCTCGTTCAACACCTTGTAACCTAGGTATTCGACTACCTAGGTGCTAAGACTACAAGGCGCCGTCACTTGATCAGTTACCCGAAACTCTAGAGAGAACTCTAGAATACAGAATCATTGCCACAAACGTATAAGAGAAAACGAAAGGAAAGAAATGAATAGTGAAGTAATTAGTGAGGGTTTGGGGTGAGAGGGAGAGAGGTGGGAGGAGCGAGGAGGGTCATTAGTTGAAAGTGAGAGTTTAGAGAGGGGTGGAGGGAGAGGTGCAGATAGGTAGAAGTAGAAGAGTAGATAGTAGAAGACGAAATGCTGCCACCATCCATTCATGATCATTACATACAAGACAAGGAATGGAACTTGTCTGTATCAAAATATTCACCAAAGATGTTATCATGAGTTCATTATTAGTAGTTCCCATCTTTATCATGTACTCATTCTAAACCATGAAACCAGTAACCACAGAGGCTTTCTCACCTCAACTCAAATCTCTAGGGAACAAAGTTAAACACAATTTAAATAATAAATTCATAATTATATTTCCCATGAAGTATCATAATTTAGCAATTAAATTAAAATGTTCCAGTTTAATATGCAAAGTGAGTCATCGTCCAAGAATTCGAGAACCCTACAACTTGACTGCCCCTGATCATCACACAACATATGAAAACACGACCAAGTCACCTAAAAGTTCAACTCACCGAGGACTGAGTCTAAGTTGAATAGAGAGGGGGGGGGGGGGGTCTGTAGCTTGACAGAGACTGTCTCGCCCCTGCCGCCCGACAGCCTCCCTGCTAGGGACGTCGTCTCAGCTCTCCTGGCTCGTGTGCTGTTCTGTCTCGTTAATCCTCCATGCTGGATAGCTCTCCGAGTTTATATTGGGGAACCTAGTAGCTAACTCCGCCCACAAGTAGATAGCCTCCGGCACTACCAAGCCACTCCTTAAACGTCGGCATGTTTGAAGGCTACCCGGCTCCAATTATACGCTTAGCGGAAGCAAGGTGAAATTCTCATGATCTGACCTCAGGTCACTTGGGGTCATTAACGGTTAGAGGTGTGAGATCTCAGGCAGACAACTGGCGCCTCTCAGATCCTTGTTTGTGACTCGTGTACTCTATATATATTAACCTAAACCAAACACTTTTACAGTGTTACACCTACTGGGAACCAAAGTCAGAACCTGGCCCCCCCACCCGTCCCCCTTCACCTCAGGTGCAGGCCTACTGGGAACCAAAGTCAGAATCTGGCCCCCCCACCTGTCCCCCTTCACCTCAGGTGCAGGCCTACTGGGAACCAAAGTCAGAACCTGGCCCCCCCACCCTCCCCCCTTCACCTCAGGTGCAGGCCTACTGGGAACCAAAGCCAGAACCTGTCCCCCCCCCCTCACCTCAGGGTCAGGCCTACTGGGAACCAAAGTCAGAACCTGGCCCCCCCACCTGTCCCCTTCACCTCAGGTGCAGGCCTACTGGGAACCAAAGTCAGAACTTGGCCCCCCCCACCCCCCCCCCTCACCTCAGGTGCAGGCCTACTGGGAATCAAAGTCAGAACCTGGCCCCCCCCCCCCTTCACCTCAGGTGCAGGCCTACTGGGAACCAAAGTCAGAACCTGGCCCCCCCACCCTCCCCCCTTCACCTCAGGTGCAGGCCTACTGGGAACCAAAGCCAGAACCTGTCCCCCCCCCCCTCACCTCAGGGTCAGGCCTACTGGGAACCAAAGTCAGAACCTGGCCCCCCCACCTGTCCCCTTCACCTCAGGTGCAGGCCTACTGGGAACCAAAGTCAGAACTTGGCCCCCCCACCACCCCCCCTCACCTCAGGTGCAGGCCTACTGGGAATCAAAGTCAGAACCTGGCCCCCCACCCCCCCCCCCCTTCACCTCAGGTGCAGGCCTACTGGGAACCAAAGTCAGAACCTGGCCCCCCACCCTCCCCCCTTCACCTCAGGTGCAGGCCTACTGGGAACCAAAGCCAGAACCTGGCCCCCCCACCCCCCCCCCCTTCACCTCAGGGTCAGGCCTAGTGGGAACCAAAGCCAGAACCTGGCCCCCCACCCCCCCACCCTCACCTCAGGGTCAGGCCTAGTGGGAACCAAAGCCAGAACCTGCCCCCCCCCCTCCGACTCCTCAGAGGCACAGGGAGCAAGTAACAATCTGCCACCCCACCTGAAAAAAAGTTTCCAGAAAGTCTGGTAAACTTTACAGACAACCGGAGCATTCACTGAAAACAAATTCTTGAAACAGTCAAACCACTCTGCAAACAATTCACACAGAACAAGGCACTCACTCATACTAGCTCGAAACTCATTAGTAGCAATTACCACCACCAGGCAGCCCAACCCCAGCACTCGGCCAGCATTCCTGGTCAGTTCTGATGCTGATGGGGAAATGTTTAGTTCTACTTGTACTGTTTCAGTCCCATCACTTGTGAGAAAGTTATGTCATTTCATACAAAGTGTTGGCAATTCTTGGACTTTTCCTTGCAGGGGGGGCCATTTGCATATTGTATTGTTACTTGATTTTAGTGTTAGCTTATTGCGTATGTTTTCAATCTGGTTTGTTGTGTACTGCACTGATCTAATCTGCACTAATCCTGCCATGCCTTCTGGTCTCATAGGGGTGTTATTTCTGTGAGCACATTTAGAACCAATCTTAATTAATATTTTCCAAGTGTAAATTATTATGTATCTCTTCTGCCTGTGCTACAGGGAATACAGATTTAAAATTTTTAGATGGTCCCCAATAATTTAGATGTTTTATTGAGTGAATTCTAGTGGTAAAAAATCTTTACATGCTCTCCAGGTCAACAATTTCTCCAACTGCGAATGGGGCTGTCATTGTGTAACAAAATCTAGAGAGCACTAATGTCTTAAAAAGTATCATCATTGCATTGCATCTCTTGATTGGAAGGGTCTTGTTATCCAACCTGTCATTTTTCTTGCAGTTGTGACAGCAACTTTGTTGTGTTCTTTAAAAGTAAGGTCTTCCGACATGATTACTCCAAAATCTTTTATATTACTTTTTCTTTCAATAGTATGATTTGACTGCATTTTATATATGATATGGGGCGCTAACGAGCGAGTGCGCTAGTTGGATGATGATTTGTTTGTTTGTTTTTCTTTTGGTGGGAGTTCTTTGGCTCTGTTTGGACGTAGGTTGCAATTTTCACCAGCAGAGGGTTTGTACAGTATTGTTTCGCTTATCTTTCTGGTTGCCCTTCCCCCCTTCCCCTGTCGATGGCAGCCATGACATACTCTAACTGTAGCGTGATCGTATGGCCATTACTCCCTGCGCCTCTCTGAGGTGGCCAGGTTCTGGCTCATGGTCCCTGGTAGGCACAAGAACTCCCGTAACTGATGACCCAAATTAATATAGCATATGTCTGGATAGTTTCAGGAAGCCTCCGGGGCGTACCCAGAAAATGGCTTTCATTACATTCAACGCTGTTTTTTTTTTTTACTTTGCCAGGTATGATAGAGAGGTCTATGTATCTTGGCCATTATGACTGGGGAAAAGTTGACCATCCTCCCTCAGATGTTCGTACATACGTTAAGGAGATTCTCATCAATATAACGCATGTTCATGCTGAGGTAAGGAAATCATCTTGATCATAAATTCATTTCCATTATATTGTATGTATTTTTAATTCTAACAATAAAGAGTTGCATTTTTTATGTGATATATATAAATGTATGTGTGTATGTATGTATATGTTGCAATATATTGGAACCTTTATATGCCATTGAAACAGGAACTAGATTTGGAACCAAGAGCTGTTGGTTACCAAGTTACCAGTACATTATTTTTATAGTGTTCATTTCCTCTCCTGTATACTATAAGAAATACAAATTGTGATAACACAATATATAGTGGTGATTATCTCGTCATTACATTAACCATTGTTCACCTGTACTTGTTATCTTCTCAAACTTCTTACTCACGTTGCTCCATTCAGAGTAGTAGGTAAAGGCCCAACGAATGTAAGCAGTGAGAACAATGGCTTTATATGTTTGGGTGCACTCACTCCTACCATTTAGGCATAATCCTATGTTTGTAGGCTTGGTATATACGCTGGTGCTTGGAGACGCTTCTGTTTTTTTATTAACACATCCAGGAAAGGCAGACTGTTATTGGTACTGTTTTCAAGGGTGAATCAAGAGATCTGACTATCTCTCTAGATTGTTTCTAGACCAATTAGTTTGTCTAGATCTTTTACTATTGCTAATACTGTACCTGTATGTCATCAACATAACGCCAGTATATGCTTGGCTTTTCCTGCTAATAAATACTCTCCTCGATGGTGCCCATGTAAAAATTAGCAAATAGGACTCATAAGGGGAAACCCATTGCTACTCCGTCTATCTGTAGATACACGTTTCATTGCGGACTGAAGAAAGGAGCTTCCTTTGTATATACCTCGAAAAGACGCTTCAAGTGTGGCTCAGGTATGTCCAATTTGGGGGTGCTCTTGTCTCTGTATACTCTGTCGAGAAGCATGGTTGTGTCAACCTGGACATTAACAAATAGGGATTCAACGTTTAGTGTAGATTGTGGGGTTCAGTCCCTGTCCCCATTATGTGCCTCTGTAACCCTTTCCACTACCACCCACAAGATGGGTATGGGGTGCATAATAAATTAACTAAACTTAAGTGAAGCCATAATACCTTTGACTTGTGTAGTCTCTGAGAAATCTGCTGATTATTGTAGACTGTAGTTATATAAAGTGTGTGGAGTTAGCAGCCATTTAGACTTTTGGCAAGATGGTAGATTGAAGTTGGTATCTGACTGATTATTGGGCATAATGGGTTACATGGTTTACATGCCTTAACATTACCATAGACATTTCCTAGGCCATAATCACCTTGGAGTTTAGTGAAGTGAATTCCACCTCCCTTTGAGTTGATTGCAGTGATAGTTTTGTTTACTTTTCGTATCTGCAAGTCTTGGAAGAACCCAGCTGTGGTTTGTGTCATCTCTGACTTTTTGAGTGCCTTCCTCAGTGGTGGCATAAATGAATACCTTAATATATAAATGCCAAGACTCCCTCCACCTCTGAGGAGACCAGGGTGTGGCTCAGGGTACCCGGTAGGCCAGAGTACTCCTCAACTGATTGCACCTACATCGAAGATGGTAGGTAGCATCAGGGAGCCTCTGGGGCTCACCCACAAATTGGTGTTTCATTACATTCAATGCTTGTATTCTCCAATATAGTATAACTTTAACAGTATCGCTCTCTTTGGACACCTATCATGTCCATTTTTTTTCTCCTGAGTCGAAGCTTTGGACAGGACTCATGTCCACTACAAAAATATTTATATAAAATTCATTTTTTATCCGATCGACCTCGGGATAGTTTCAAATTAAGCGCCTTTAGAATGCGTGCAATTTGATACCAAAATGAAAGATGTAACATGAAACTTGATGTCCGAACACTTATATGATTATAAATAGGTTTTTGGTCAAAATTTTAAAATATTTGTTAAAATTCTATTTATTGTGCTATTATGTTGGGACTAGTTTTAAAATGTGCACCTTTACGTTGCGAACAATTTGATACCAAAATGAAAGATGTAACGCAAAAATTTATGTCAGAACACTGGAAAGATATAAATAATTTTGTGATGATGAGCTTCCAGAATTAAAATATTTGTTAAAATTCCAGTTATTGCTCTATTATTATGGGACTAGTTTTAAAATATGCGACTTTTTATTGCGAACAATTTTATACCAAAATGAAAGACGTACCATGAAAATTGATGTTATCAAACTGAACGAGTATACACATTAGGTTGCAGTGTACAAATTGGTGCTCGTTTACGGGTAACTTTAGGCTTTCCTGCGGGGAGGCACGCCAGGCTTTTGTACATTATAATCATATACACCTGTAGGGAATTTAATTGTGAACACACTGATATCAAAATGAGCGACGTAGCACGAGAATTAAGGTGAGAAAACTGAAAGGAGTATGGAGTATGGAGCCGGTCGGCCGAGCGGACAGCACGCTGGACTTGTGATCCTGTGGTCCTGGGTTCGATCCCAGGCGCCGGCGAGAAACAATGGGCAGAGTTTCTTTCACCCTATGCCCCTGTTACTTAGCAGTAAAATAGGTACCTGGGTGTTAATCAGCTGTTACGAGCTGCTTCCTAGGGGTGGAGGCCTGGTCGAGGACCGGGCCGCGGGGACACTAAAAGCCCCGAAATCATCTCAAGATAACCTCAAGAAGTATACACATTTTACTGATTTTGTGCGCACACAGGTAACTTTTCCGACTTTAGGCTTTGCTGTGGGGAGTCTCGCCAGGCTTTTGGACATTATATGCATATACATCTGCAGGTAATTTAATTGCGAACTCAATGATACCAAAATGAACAACGTAGCACGAGAATTAAGGTGAGAAAACTGAAACGAGTATACAAATTTAGGCATCGCCGCACGCTCGCCCGCACCATTGGCCCCATGACATCAAAGTGTGCAGCGCTCTCGTGGGGCGCGTGATAGTGTTAAGTTTGACTTTTTGCAATTTTTGATTTGCTTAGTATTTTGGAGAAATGTAATTCCCAAGCAAATTAACCCTTCCACTGCTCAGGGGTCCTGAGGACATTTACACCCCTGTGCGCAAGAAAAAAAATTCAATTTTTTTTTTCATCTTCTAAACATGTTAATTTGTGTCCCCTGAGCACGGGAAAAATAAAATAAAATCGTAGGTGACATATTTTGGGTGCAATTGACCGAGGAAGTCTGGCAAAAAGTGGGCGTTGACAGAGCGGTCGTCAGAGCCGGTCAGCGTCACCCATGCTGACAAGTGGGAGTTGTCACAATGATATTATCACTTAATTATTTCTATGTCTCTGATTTTTTCTTATTTTTTTTTTTTGCAGTAATATTATTCAATAGTGTGTATTGTAATATATTTATATAATAAAAGTGGTGAATAATCGCTATACTCACAAGTATGGTGTGCATATTAGTGATTCAGTTATTATGTTCATAAAACAATAAACAAATAGTTTTGCTGCTATTACACTCTATACACAGGTTATATATAAGTATCTGCATGTTTTGTTCACCATAACGAACCACTAAGTTGGTATTGAGAGTCGAAAAGCAACAAGGAGTTACCGCCACACACCAGCCAGCCACTCGCTGCCACTCCCTCAACACATGCACTAAACTTTCTCCCCCAACAGTACCATTTGTGGTGTTATTACACTATATACAGATGATATATATAAGTAAGTATATATTTTGTTCACCACAACTGTACAGCTAAGCTGATATAGTTAGTTCAGGCACTAAGAGTCGTCGCTATACACACAGTCAGCTGGCGGCTGCCTCACTCATTCAAGGTCACACCCACTAAACTTTCTCCCCCAACAATACTGTTTACAGTGTTATTACACTATATACACACATTATATATAAGTATCTACATGTTGTATGCACTGTAACTGTACACCTAAGCTTGTAGTGCACCCAAAGAGCATAGTGGACACCCTCTAAACAGCTAGACAAATCATGCAGACGACGTCACCTCTGTCACCCAAATGGCTCCTCCCAGCATAATCCTTTTGCTGTTATTACACTAATACACATATTATATATAAGTATCTACATTTGTGTTCACCATAGAGAACCACTGAGCTGGTATGGTGAATGCAAACAATAACAGGTGGCCACACAGTCAGTAAACGATGCTATCTCCCTCCGTCTCTCAGCATCACTCCTCCCACAGCGCTAATTATTACAACAATCCTGCTATTATCACAACCCTGGTTATTTATATCACAGTCAGGGGTCATCGCTAAATAATAACAATTATATATTTATTTTGACATTTTTCGGCGATGCTGTGGTCACAAGCTGAACAGCAATGCTGTTCCCTCATGCTGCGTGTGCCAGCCTTGGTTGCTCCAACAGTACTGTGCCTCTCACACCTGAGAATATTGCCCACGATTTAAAAAAAAAACTGGCGTCTGTTTACAAGAGCCCTGAGGAAGCTAATGTCAACCCCGTGTAGCCGCGGGCCATTTGAATCGGGCCTGGCACCCTTGGGCGTATATATACGCCATGCACATGGTGGGACATGTTACTCAGAGTGTATATATACGCCATGCGCAGTTTAAGGGTTAAGGGCCACCTTTGTAGGTAGGTTGGTTATTGTATTGACCAATTTAACCCTGAAACCGCTAGGGGCCCAAATGGAATTCACACCCACAGGCGCAACAAAAAAAAAATCCAAAAAATTCTTTAGTCTTATAGAAGTGTTCATTTTTGTTCCCTGATCACGGAAAAAATAACAAAAAAATCGTAGGTGGCATATTTTAGCCGCAATAGAGTAGGGAAGTGTGGCAAAGGGGCGTTGGTAGAGCCTTCGCCAGACGTGGTCTACTCCGCCCGAGCTGTCAGACGGCAGTTGCCACAAATATATTATTACCTAATAATTTCAATGTCTCTGATTGATTTTTTCTTAGTTTTTTGCAGTAATATTATTCCATACAGTGAATTGTGGTATATTTATATAATAAAATGTGTGAACCATCGCTGTACTCAAAATTATGGTGTGCATATTAGTGATTCAATTATTATGTTC